GTGCTGAGTCTGTGTAATCCTGCTTAAGATAACACTGAAATTATTTCAGAGTCTCTCCATCAAGAATCCAGCCAATTTGCTCTCACAAAAGTCAGCACTGACCAAGCTGATGCGGGTCTCAGCATTCCTTTTGACCCTGCAAGTGTAGAGCTGAAAGGAGGTGCCTCCTTGTCCAAAGGGTTTTTTATCAAGCCACAGAAGAAGAGTGTATCTCTCCAGTCACTGGAAGCACTGAGAAGAGAAAGGTAAGGAATGACAAAGGGAGCACACACACTTCATCATCCCCCTCCAGCCCATGCCAGGTTAACAATGGGTTTTCAACAGCCAAAAACTACTATTAAGACCTTAGGGCATGATTTTCCTCTGAGTAAGCCAGGTTGGACAGGGCTGTGGGTGGATCTTTGCATCCGCCATGGATCCCGACACGCTGTGGGTGAATCTCTGCATCCCCCGTGGATCCCCACAGGGTGTGGGTGGATCTTTGCATTCCCCCATGAATCCCCACGGGATGTGCGTGAATTTCTGCATCCCCCATGGATCCCCACAGGCTGTGGAGGTACAGTTGCTTCACCATGGTCTCACCAAAGCCTGCAGAGGAATCTCAGCTCTGGCACCTGGAGCACATCCGGCCCCTCCTTCTTCACTAACCTTGGTGTTTCCATGTTGCTTCCCTCACATGTTCTCACCTTCTTCTCTTCCCTGGCTAGGAAAACACTGTGTACTTATTAGTTTTGATCTTCCTAAGTATGTTATCACAGAAGTGTTGCCATCATCTCCAATTGGCCAGGCTTGGCCAGCAGGATGTCCATCTTCAGAGCCATCAGGGATTGGTTCTGATGGGCATGGTGGAAGCTTCTGGCAGAAGCTACCTCTGTGGAACCTTGCTACCAAAATCCAGGCCATGGAAAACCAACACATCCCACCAGTTGTCTCAGCTGCTCCTGGTGCTCCAGACCCTACTCATCCTTTTCCTCTTTTAGAGAAATCAACATGGATCATTCCTTCATCCGACAACTCCGGAGCAAAAACATCCAGCTGTACATGGTCACTGAAATCCTCGAAGCCTCAGAGGAGGCCGTCTACAAGGAATCCACCAAGGCAGACGGGGGGTTCATGGCCAAATTTTATGCTACATTCTCTGCAAAGGTTTGGCTTCTCCCTCCTTGCTTCCCCAACACCTGCACCCAGGTGTTTTTACAGGTTGTTTTCCTTGAACAGGGCACCAGAGAGAACAACCAAGGCATAGTCATACCTAAGGGCTGCACGCTGGCCTTCAGGACCATCCCGCTATGCATTAGAGATGGAAAATGGAGTAAGTGACTCGCAGAAATTATCAGTTTCTCCCTTCTAAAAAGGTGCACAAGAGAAAGAACATTTTATGAAAAATCACCTGGCCCCAGATACACCCTAAACTTGTTTGCAAGGAGAGGGAGGTAGTGTGAGGGACAGAAATCAACTGGGGGAGGCCAGACAGCCCACGCAAGGTTAAAGAGCTACACAAGGAAGATGCTGTTTGGGGAGGGGTCAGTATAAAAAAGAAAAGAAGGATGTCTCAGATCTACTTTCAAGGAGCTGCAGAGATCCTGGTGATAAATGGCACATAGAACAGAGTGTGGGTCTGAAATTTTCTACTCAGAGAATCAAGGTGAAAACAGGGTGGGTGACCAACAGTGAGAAAGCTGGTGTAGAGTACCGTAAATGCCCTTTTTATCCTCTTTCAGATGTGCATTATTTCTTAACAGAAGACATGCCAAAAATCGTTTACCAAGGTCCTGTAGTACGACAAGGTTTGTGTGTTACTGTAAAGCATACAAATCAAGGATATTCGCCTGTTTTGGGTAAGATGGAATCTCCCAGCATAAAACAAACCACTAGGATAGATGCATTTGCCTCTCCCCTAAGACATCACAACTGCCCCAATTCCATATTGCTTCAAAAAACACTCATACAAGTGTTTCAAGCTCAAGAGTTTAAATGAAGCAGTGCAATCCGAGAACTCAAGTGACAGATTTGGTCTCATTCTGGTTTACAGAAGGAAACCAGACATTTTACTCAAAAGGAAAATTAGGAGAAGTTGTGCAAGATGTTAAAAAACACTGTCAAATCTTCACCAAGTTGTCTCCTGACCTGCTGCTCATCATCTTAAACACTATCAAAGCTGTGATGAGAGACAAGAACTTCCTTCAAGAGCTCAGACAGAAAGTAAGTGAAGCTTTTCTTACTGCCACAATTTATAATAGAGATATATCCATGACCACACCTCCTGAACCACAAGTCACCTGCCCTGTGCCACAACTGCCCATCCAAATTTTCCTCACTCAGCACATCTCCCTGCTCAAGACAAGCAGCAGCCTCGGCCCTCGAATCCTGACTTCATTCTTTTTCTTGTTCCTCCAGATGGAGGAAGTTCCTGAGCAAGGTGATGGTTATCAGCTGGAAACTGAGAGCCCAGACTTAAAAGACCTGTTCAGCACCTTGCAGCATTCTCCAAGAGATCATCTCCTTCTGCTGGCAGAAGGAA